GGAGGAGGAGGAGGAAGAGGGGGAGGAGGAGGAGGAGGAAGAGGGGGAGGAGGAGGAAGAGGAGGAAGAGGAGGAAGAGAAGGAGGAGGGGGAAGAGGATGTGGATCAGAAGGGTGTGGAGGAGGAGAAGTAGGAGGAGGAATCAGAAAAAAACATTTTTTTCGCATTTTTTAAGAAGGGACACATTAGCGGTAACGTTAACTGGAGACATCGTCAAAATAAAGTAGAGAAAAATGAGTCACCACATTGTGAATGGAAAAACACCATAAAAATTCAGCATATGGAAATAGGTTGATTGCTGTTTCATCTACAGCTGCTTCTCGGAAAATCAGAGTTATTTTTAAAAGGTAACGGTTCTGGACCATTGGACCAACACTCCAAATTGTAGCTTTTGCATAGTTTCCGAGATGTTCACGTTTGAGAAACCGATTTTTTAACCCTGAAATGTCTAGGGCTCTCTGAACCCATTCATAACTTGAATTGTAGTTATTTCTGTGATCATATAAATGCATTTAGCGGTAAAAGTAGGGAAAGCTAGTTTTCATGAGTTTTGGTCTAGAACTGTCATCGCAGCTGATGTCACGCAATAAAGTCATCATAATTACTCAATACGAGCGATTCTTTTTCCGAAAATTTGGGGAATGGGACCGCGGCACCGACTGCGGACATTCTAAAAAGGACTTGACGCAAAAAACCGGTATATTATTTTGACCCAGTGAACACAATCCTTCCAGTGGCGTGGCGTGCTTTGCGATGTATCGATTGATCTGCCATTTAAACCTATGGAAAAGGATCGATAGACAGGGTACTCGCAACGAGCGCCTTAATAATCGATTCTTTACCATAGGTATAAATGGGAAAATATCGATAATCGATCATTCACGTCTCGCCGCGCCGTAGTGAAATACCCTACAGTCCCTGCAACGAGAGTTGTACGGGTGAAATGAAAAATAAGATGTATTGAAAATGTCCGTGAAATATTTCATGAAATTTCACAAAGATGTGAAAAAAATGAGGAATTTTATACATATTTTCACAGGCTGGGTATGCAACACGCACTTAAAAACATCAGAAAGTAAAAACTAGTGACTTTCATTTAATTTTGCATTTAATCTCGAAAAGTGTGTTTAAATATTTTTCACATTTTTCTGAAATTCCGAGATTTTATTTTTCATGAAAAATTGCGACCCTGCCTACAACATTCATTCGCTGATAGATCCTCAGGTCGACTGATCTGCAGAGGCAAATTGGAGGGCTCTGAGTAGCACTTGTGGACTGACCGACGGCCGCCGACCTTGACCTCAGTAAAGCAAATCTCTGAGGAAAAGACTCAGATGAGGAGAGGAATGAGGAATTGAAGGGGGCCAGAGAGAAGGGGGAGTGGAGGGAGGAGGGAGATAAAAGTGGACGAGGCTCGAGGACATTGGACGGAGCTATCTCGCAATTTTAACTAAAGTAAAAAATAAGGCTTTTTGAATTCCTTTCGCCGCCACCCTTCGATGACTCATTCCGCGCGAAATAAAAAAAAACCGCGGATGAGGAATGAAGAAACTGAGTCAGGCTGCCGGCGCACAGTGGAACGAGCTAATAGATGAAGTCAAACATGAAATTTGTGGCTAAAATTTCAAATTTTTATGTTTATTTCGTCACGAATGCAATTTCAAGGGGTTTTTCTGAAAGGAAATTTCACGAAAGAACCAATGGAACCACTCTTAAACATTTATGTCTCATATTTTCGAAAATATAAAGCTTTCGAAGTTTCCAAATTTTGTCAGACTTCTCCTATTGATTCGGTCCAGTGTGCGGCGTTTCAGCATTACCTCCTCGGCAGACCTTAGGCTATTGGTTTACTTGGACTCGTTAAAAAAGATAAAATACGCAATGTTCGTAACGTAACTACCACGTAATGTATAATTGGACGTATTTCTGCTAAACGGAACTGTGCATTAAGCTATGAGCCCTGAGACCCATAAGAATAGATGCACAACAAGGCTCATGACATAATGCACATATCTCCGTTGGGTAGAAATACGTCTAATTGAAAGGAACTCATTTTGTCGTTTTTCCGGATGAAAAGACGTAACTCCATTCCAAGGTTGCAAAATGGACTCAAACAATTTAATTTTTTACAAGAATGTACCTGAACAATTTTTGTCCACAATTTGTCTGATTTTCGCATGAGATTCGAGCGAAGAACAGTGAACTTTTCGGTTAGAAATGCCCTAGATTCTCCTGGGAAAAAGTGAATTTGCGAGGGGAAATTTGGCAACATTGAAATGCAGTAACGTTCTTTTGTAAGGGCAACGGCGATTTGAGAGTTTTCGTATGAGAGAAATACTCAATCTGCCCGTAAAATTATAAGGAGCTCATTTGTGGATCGTTGTATCAGAAAAGTAATCTCCCCCTTCCTAAGAAAATCCTCCCGTAAAATTGACAAGAACTCTCATTAGTTAGAGTTGTCGCCACAGGAATGGCATCCATTACCCAACATTTTTGAAAAATGAAACCTAACCTAACTCAGGGTTAAGATATTCAACCTCAGGAAGAGAGGGGTGAAGCAGCATATCGGCCATTTGAGCAGGGAGGGTAGCAGGGCAGTTTTCCTCGTTCCTCCTACCATACTAACCCCTCAATTTGATATTGAACCTTAGAGCATTTTTGGGGTTAAGAAAATTCTAGGTATTTTAGGGGGATTAATGTATACCATTCGATGGCAAGTAAAGTCAATTTTAATTTTTACAAATTCTAGAGTATTTATCAAAATTTTCTCCACGTATGCATCCTCCAAGCCAATGCGCCTGAACAACTTTTGCCCACCGTAAGATTCTCTTAAATTAACGCTCCTCTGTAGAATATTCACACAGATTAAATCGAACCGGATAGCTTATTTTTTGTTACACGCACCGAAATAAGTTGTCATTTCCACGCCAAAAGAGAAACAAACTGAATTATTTTAGACTGCAAAAAACTGTTGAAAGCGCTAATGATTTTGATCAAGGGCACTTCTTAAACCCTTGTGTCCTTGGACGCGCTCGCTCCCTCCCCCCTTCTAACATGGATTGGCATTATTACATTACAACCGGACATCGATGATTCACGAAGTTCAAATTGGGAAAATCCGATAGGAATTTGCGCTCAATTATGCATGATAATTTCAACTTGCCTAAAAACTAGAATTCTGGGAGTATCGGTGCGGTTTATAGATACTGAAAGGTAGGTATATCAAAGCTGATAGTATAAACCACATATCTCGATCTGCAGCGGTTTGAACTGCCTTTCATAAGTCTCTTTTTAAAAGAGACAGATTTCATTGTTTAACTTGATTTCGTGGGACTTTTCTTAGCCCTTGCAGGAATATTCTCCCTATCAGCGCACACAAATGCAAGGTCATATAGAAAACATAAAATACTAGGAGGTACGCCCGATGACCGCTACACGGCCCAACCCCCAGAGGACGCTTCGCGGCCTCTAAGGTCCGCTTCGCGCACCTCTTGTGCGTTAATCTGGCATGAAATAAGACAAAGCTCTAAAAAACAATTCGTCGGCGACCATGAATATCTATTGAATCGGTGAGTTCGAAAACACACCAACTCGGAAAAAAAAATTGTTCAGGAAACACCTAAAACTGCGCAGCGGGCGAAGAAGTTAGTTTAAGAAAAACCTTTTTGGTGCCAAATGACAAGTACTTAGACTTTGTAAAGCACCAAGTTGAGATCGATACACCATGTTTAATGACAGAGAATTAAGCGTTTAAAAATTTCCGAGTTGGTGTGTTTTCGTTCTCACCGACTTTCAGATACTGATTTTTTATAGTCGGCCCTGAAAAATTGATATTTTTCGACCTGAATAACGCTTGATTATTTATATAACTTGTTGGTACAAGGTGTACTGAACCGAAAAAAGAAAACCGCAAAATCGGCTGGTCACCCGTTTCCCTTGAAATGGCCAAAAATTGGTGCTTCCAATAAAATACTTCGATTCTTCCCTTTTCCCGTCGCTGTTTCGAGCAGTTCCGATTGCAATTTCGAAATTTCCTTTTGCGTGCGGATGCTTCTATCCATAAGTGTTACTAAACCGTAAAAAAGTGAAAATCGAAAAAAACCCGAGTTGCGGTGTGTTTTCGAACTCACTGATTCAATTATCGTGGGGGCCTGAGATGGAAAATTTCATGAAAAATAAGATTTTTGAAATTTCACTTGAAATTTCAATGAAACCGTGAAAAATTAAAATCTAAGCTTGATTTTCAGTAATTTTTTGATTCTAGTAATTTTTTCTGCCCAACTGCTTGCCACAACAAGACGAATATGCATAGGGAGTATTAGGGAGTCGTATCTCGTGCCCTCTTGCCGTCACGCAACAAAATGGCGGCTAAAATCGAAATGATTCAACCGTCGTTGTTTGTTTTGTCTGCATTCGTGCCATAGATTTTTGGTA